TTTATACCTCGTAATTCGCTGGATGAATTTGTACGAAATTCGGTTTGTACAATCTCGGGTCCCTACTCAGCTGATGTATAAAATTTGGAAATGATTGCTCAAAGTGGGCGTGGCTTATTACAAGAAATGTAAATTTCTAGACATTTCTCATTCCAAACTTCAAAAAATCAAAAAAATCATCCGTACGTCCTTGAGAACTGAAATTTTTCAGCACATCCACTGAAGTGTGACTCACGTTTGCTTCACTGCAACCTGTGGTCAATTCAGAAGTCAGTCAATCTGTATTTTTCAGAATATGCTAATTCAATTAACATCTGTATCTCCACACGTCTTTCTTCAAACGCTACCAAACTCGACAGAATCATTCTCCAGATGGCCGATATCAAGTGTGTCAAAGGGTTTTCAGATCGGTCAAACGATGACTCTGCAGTGATATTCAGTATCTTGCTGTAACTTCTACAGTAAGAACAACATTTTCTTTTTAATCAAATGCCACCAAAAGAATTTTCTCACCAACATCTTGACAGTTGTAAGCGTTTGAAGTTTAAACTGACAAAACTCTCCGGCTCTGGCACATTTGATGTCACCAGCATCTCAGTCACCAGTGGCTCAGTCAGTAAGTCACCTGCTCTGGAGATCTGCAAATCCCCGGGTGAGCCAGTCAGACGTGCTGACAACAGGAGTGTTCAGATCATAGTGAAGTGCAATTTATACTTCTGCATCAGCCCCCCAAAAATGTACCTGCGACGTGAGGCAACCATAAGCTCTGTGATTGGTCGACTGGAAGTGCCCGTGATTTGAAGTAACTTTTACTAGCGGCCAAACACGGTGAATCAATATATTTGACCTTCACAACCCGAGCAAAATTACTGGTTTCACTATCAGACTGTGATCCACTCGGTCGAGAACATTTGAAAAGGCTACACCAGCCGCACGTTTACAATTTTACCCCCATTCACGGGGGGATACAAATCTCCACAACATGACTGCATTGTTGAGACTGAAGTGGAAAGCGTAGGTACGTATCGGACTCTGATCCTGGTCCTGATTGGTTGCACATCTCAATTGCAAAGCATCTGTTTCTGTTAATCTATTGCAGTGTTGCAGATTTATTTTTAACGAATATGGACCGAAACAGTGAAATAATTCAGGATTATTTCAATGCAGGCCACACATACCAGGTCATACTTGATCTGCTCTCAACTTTACACAACATTAGGATGAGTATGCGCCAGAGACGGGGACTCGAGTTAGAGACTCGGAAGTCTGAAGTCGCACACGGTGACTTCAGACTCGACCTGAGACTCGTCCTCAAAAGACTTCAGACTTGACTCAGACTCGAGGTGCGGCACTCGTGAACAATGTTTATTTATAGGAAGCGTCTGATGAGCGTGCCGTTATTCCTCCCTGCGTTACCTAGAACCTTCCTACGTAACACGTAGCATCAGCTGCGCGCGGCAGCACGTGAGAGAGGACAACAAACAGCTGCAGCTGCTGAGCCGTTCATCATAAACTTTGGCTTTAAAACGCCTCCCTTTCCTCTTCGCTGCTGAGGGACAAACTGCAGACGTTCATTATGCTTTGTAAATGACAGAGTCTGCAACCAATCAGGACCAGGATCAGAGTCCGATACGTACCTACCCTTTCTGTTTCAGTCTCACCGATGTCTGGCGACTGGCTGTCGTGTTTTGCACTTCAGGGCCACCGTAGCTATTGCGTGATACATTAAATTAACTGATTTTACTTACTGACTTTTTGACATTTTATTCATCCTCCACATGATCACACCATCCTTCCATATAACATTAGGTTAGGTTAACTTCTGCTTGGAACACAGCGCAGAGTTGCTTCATGAAAACATCACAAAGACATGGACAAGAACCTGAGAAGCATCGACACGTCGCACTTCACAAGAGGAAAATATCAACACAGAAGGAAAAGGTCACTGTTGACAACACAGTTCCATGGATTAAAGTGCAAGTGTGGTGGTTGCACATTGCTCCACTGAACTGAAGTTTGTGTTAAGGTGCTAGTATGTTGATGGAACGTGCGCTGTTGCACCAGGATCACAAGTAAAGTGATGAAGGGCTCACATTTTTATTGCACACAGCACTATTTTACATTGTTCAGCAGCTTCATTGAGGCTGGCTCAATGATCAGTTTAGGTAACGTGTACCTGCTGCTGGTCAACTACCCATTATTTAAAGGTCCGACCTGCCCATTGCAAATCTTTCTTTGTAAGAACTACAACTGACAGCAAACACAAACATCTTTGTAACTTGTAACTCATTTTTATCAGGACGCCTTCAGCACCAACATAAACATGGGCTGTTCTCACTGGGGTCCATTCTGTTCTGTTCTGGTTAGTGACTTGTTACAAATAACGTCATTTACAAAATAAATAAAATAAAAAATGTAACTGGCACCTTTTCACGTTCCTTTTTTAAAACTGTAGCCTACTTTTACTCTTCACTCCAGTATTTTCTGTGGGCCAGTAATCTACTTTTAATTTCGCTACATTTTCCATTCATACCTTCATAATTTCACCAGTGTGTGATCTGCATTAGGCTTCATTAACCGAACGAGCTGTCAGCCAGGCTGTGCAGAAGAACGCCAGGTCTCCTCTGTGGTACAGAGACGGGCGCTTATCGCAGAGATGAATGAGCTGGGCAGATCAAACATTTAGAAAATCAGGCAGATACCTTTTCAGTTTAAGGCTTTATTGTTCTACTGAAACAACTGAAACCCAGTGAGCCACACCATGGACCTGCTGGCCTGTTGGAAATCAGCCTGCGTCGCTCTTTAACAAACCGGCTGGCGCATAAAAGCATCTTTGGTCTCTGCAGAGAAAATGTAAACTTCACACTGTAAGATCCAAGTCTGATGATCACTAGACTGATTCTGATAAATTAACAGTATCGTGTTGTTGAAAAGAGCATCGCTTTCCTTTGATAGATATCAGCCTGTTTTTTTCAAAGCCTACTGTTTAATAGCGATGTGTGTCGGTGAAAGTGATCTTTCACTCAGCAGCTACCAGCTGTTATTTCTTCAGGAACCGATCATTTTTCAGATGCACAGAGAGGAAATATGGTTGATAAAACAGTCCTGTTGGGTTTTACGCATGACGCACAGCTTCCTCTGTACGAAGCTTTACCTGCTTCAACAACGAGCTGCTCCGTGTTACTGCCACAATTATTCTTTGTAAAGATTAGTTAGATGCTTTAGGAATAATCAGATTGTTTCGGCTGCCTGTGCTTTGGTCGGCTACATGTCCATAATAAGATACAGGCAACAATAGCTGCAAGCTGATATTTAAAGTGATCTTATCAACACGTTCATGGAGATTTAAAGAGGAAAATAATTATTAAACAGAAATAGTTAAAGATAATCAACCAGCAAAGCAAGTAGCATTCCCTAGAAATAAGCATGTTGCACAGCAGATGAAATATATTATTATATTTCTACATGAGTACATTTGTCATTTTTTCTTTTACTTTTTATGGGAGTAATTGTACTTTTTCTCAGTAAAGATTTTGAGTACTCTACCTGCCTCTGGCCAGCAGCAGTTTATGCTCAGATTGATGATGATATGACTTATTTATTCATTTATTTAGTCATATAAAGTCATTACTTTACTTTAGGAGTGTTAGAGGGATCTTTCTAGTTTTGAAAATGTATTTTAATGGCTCATTTATTATGTACTCTACTTACTCAAGAATGCAGGAATAAAGGTCTGTAAAGAGCCAGAGGGCCCGACACACGCTCTGTCTGGAGAGCGGACTGACCAGGGACAAACTCCTGGGCCACTTTGTGGCCTCCGTCCGTGACCATGCTTGACCTTAAAAACATGTGGCAGGAGGTGAGCATGCGTCTCTGCTACGTGTCCATAAACTGTTCCCACAGAGAGCGACATCAAATATAACGTCAGGATAACTAAATCCATTTTAGCTGTGGCTACATTAACTAGCAGCTGTTCCAGGGTTTTCATGGTTAGTTGGTTTTGTTCTAGTTATATTATAGTCCCTCTGTCTGACCCTCTCCCTCTCAGAGCTTGTCTCCATCTTCTGTCACTACAAACAGCCTCTTTCAGCCACACTGACAAGCACAATCTGTTTTCAGAAGTCATAAGAAATAGCATTTAAGTGCTTTATTTAAAATAAAAATCAGCAATCAGCGCCCCCCCCAGGTTCAAAGTCGCTCCTAGCCCTGAATAAAACGGCCCTGCAGCCTTCCAGGAGTCCCACAAACTTTCTTTCCCAAACGTCTTGCTCCTCCCTCTCTCTACCTGCTTCCATCAGTGAGGCGGTGGCGGCCTGTTAAACCCTCAGATGTCAGCACCGACATGTGAGTTGTGTGTGACTTGGCTGGTTAACATGTAGGATTTTTACATGTCACCACATCACAGGTTAACAACATGTGTTCAATAAAAAAAGCTCTAGTCTGACAGACAACACAACTGTTGTTTGATACAGATATTAGAGCAGTGGGTGCAGCGGTTACGTCACATCCTGTTTACTCTGGGGGGCGTCCGACAGCTGGATTTAGCTGTTGGAGTGGTGAAGGTCTGGTTTCAGAGAGGCCCAAACCACTGTGACGGGGGGGCTCTAAATGTTTGTAACCTTAAAACGCACTTGGATTTCCCTCTTTGCGGTTACATTTTACTACTTGCAGACTTATTGTACTTAAAGGGGACAAACTGTGTCAGCTCTACAGTTTCTTTGGCTCAGACCCAAAGAAATGCAGCAGGCTTCCAGGAATTGTCCACAGGAACAGAACAGCTGCCATCAGCCTCCTGTTTCCACTTTTTAAATCTCTTTAACTTTGTTGGTTCCAAAGAAACCAAACTCTCCCAGCAAACCTGCTGAAAACCAAACAGCAGCTGCTTCTTTCACATCAGCAGCGTGCTGGTCATCAAACCTTCAGCCTGTAAGAAGTGAAATGCAGCCAGAGGGATCAGAGCAGTCCTGCTCAGACCGCTTCAGACCTCTGCTCGGTCTTACCTGGAGGAGCTGCGTGGGGCGCGAGGCAAACCGCTTTCTCTCAGTCCACTGATCAGAGACAAAAACCCGCAGCTGGACACACAATCCGGAGAGGACGGGTCATCTGCACGGACCAATGAACGATCGGCTGCTGGGGAGGTGGGCGGGGCTTAGCGGCGGCTCGTCCGGGTCAGTAAGTGTATGAACTGTTTCTGAGGTCCAGGACCGGAACCTGGATCCAGATTAGACCTGCCTGGTTTCACACTTTGCTGGGAGAGACGGTGTAGCCTTCAAAATAAAAGCTGGCGTCTGCGCCGCTCTGACTGCGTTTCAAAATAAAAGCCTTGGCAGTGAAACAGTAAAAATGGAAGAAGAGAAGAAAGAAAGAAAACCCCTCAGTTTAAATTCAATAGACAAGCTTGGTGATTCTGTGAGAACAAGATAAAAAGAATAAAACAGGTTAAAGAGTAGATTGAAAGTGCAGCAGCAGCACATTGGAAGATATGAAGCTCAGAGCAAGTTCAACCGGAAAGACTATGGGATGGATTTAAAACGCTCTACTACACTAGCAGGCCAGCTGATTTGGCCTAAATGATAATAATGAGCGCATGTTACCGTGACAACGGCCGCACACAAAGGCAGACTGGGTGAAATGACCAGATGACTTCAGTTCTGAATCCTTTTAAATCAATGATCAGGTTTCTATCAGGGAGACTGGAGCTGATTATTGGCTACATGTTGGAGAAATCAGCAATTTAGCGGTTGGTTTCCTACCATTATTATGGAAACCATGACAACCAGTGGAATAACATCTTCTTCCCTCCATGATATATGACTGTAATATAAAGGAAGCTGCGAGCCTGAAGCCACAGCTGAAAGTTCAGCAGAAGCTTCAGCAGAGTCCAAAAGCTGCTGCTGATCCAGTGAAGACACTCTGAGCAAACTGATTTCATGAAGCTCACAGGAAGCTGCAGCACTCAGGATGCTTTCATGTAACTAAAGCTCAACATAAAGGATCAACATGTTTCCACATGAAATATCTGAACTAGTCATTCAGAGCACGAAGACACAGGAAGAAAGCAGCGTAGAAATCCATCAGAGGACATCAGCTTTCAGGACTCTTCACAAACACAGCAGCAGCTTTCTGTCTGACTTCTCTTCTGGAACGTCCTCTGTGCACACTGACAACATGAGAAACTGCTTTCTATGGAGATTTCTATTCTACATGTCAGTGAGGAGTTTACTGTCAACATCAGAGTCAGCAGGAATCAGCAGCCTTGGACTGACTGAGAGGAGCATTAGAGGAACCTTCAGAAAAAGGCCTTTCTCCTAAAATGTACATTTGATTCAATTCAAATTCATTTCTCAACTCTAGGTATTTCTTTTACTTTATATTATTTTACCCTGAGCATGGCCGTCTCCAAGATACAAAAAACCCCAATAAAACTATTAAAAATAGTAGCTTCATGCTGAAATGTAGAGGGGAAAAAACACATTCCACAGGCTGTCCAACAGGAAATTGTAAATGACCTAAACTTTTTATTTTGTTTCTTTAAAGACCGTTACAATACTTTTATTACTTACCATCTTCAAGAAAATGGGTTCAATATTTTGGAATGTCCTGAACTGAGAGAGGTGATACAGTCTAGTGATTTTTAAAAGTTAGATCTCCATACATGTTGAAAGAACATGAATTTAACGAGGACGATTTTGAGAAGCACAAAGGCACATGAGTATCATCTGACATGTATTGAAAACCCTGAGCACAAAGTGACATATGGAGTGAAATGGAAATATGTCCTTTTTTTATTCTTTGCAAAGGGTCAGACAGACATACAGAGTGCAACCAGTCTGCAGAGTGTGACAAAGAGCCAGAGGAGAAGCAGGTGACTTTATACTGTAAGGGTATTACGCAGCTATCCAAGGGAGGAAGGGAGTCGGGACCAGCTGTCCTGAGATGAAGGCCTATCAAGGACAGTCTGATAAGAAAACTCTCTAACGAGCATCTTTCCCATGAAAACTTCACCCAGCTGTAACATGATAAAATAATAAAATACCACACAGTGAAACACAGGTCTGTTCTGATGAAGCATGCGGGGTGAAACAGTAAACACCCCTACTTGACTGTTTAAATGACGTCAAAGCGTGGTTAGCCCAAAATTTCTTAAAACTAAATGTTGGAGCTATATTTTTATTTGTTTATTTTGGACTTAAGTTCATTTATAGCCTAATTTATTTCTTTTCTTTTCTTGTTAAAGTTAATTTGGTTTATTTTGTATTTATGCTTTACTTGTGTTGTCGTTTGTTGGTCACATGGTGTTATGTTCATTTGCATAAGTAGGTCAAGGTGGGAGGTGCTGCAGGCACGAGGGCATATGGTTTTTTACCAGCGTGAGAGAGGCAGCAGAAATGTCTGTAAGCTTGCTTATGTGTGAATAAACCTCCTCAAACTCTCTTGTTATGGACATCACTTTGCTTTGGTACCTCTGAACCTGCGTAAAGCCTAACCATGACGTAGCCTCAAGTGGCCATTTGAGAAGCTTGTTATTATTGTTTTTGTTTAAGTTTATGGACAAATGGCCACTACACTGAATGAGAGTAAAACAGAGATCATGCAGTTTGGCCCCCACATGATAGACTTGGGCCCCCTCAATGACTTTGTGCATCCTGTTGTAACTAACCTTGGGATCAAATAGACAGTGATTTTAAATTTGACAAACAAATAAATGAGGTTGTGAAATCTAGTTTTTATCATCTTTGCCTTTTAGCTAAAGTCAAGTCTCAAGTCTCTCGTGGTTATTACGAATGTTGTATCAGCTGCTGCGTTCAATCCAGGTTGCTTATAAAACTGCAAAGCTATAAGGAATTCTGTAACTGTAACCTGTTTTGCATTTACAGAGCACAACCATGTGATGTGCAATGAAATCATTGACGGCTTATTAAATACTGTAAGTCAACACACTCCGCAGACTCTTAAACCCAGTGTAAGTTATAACTAAATAAAATTGTGACGTTGCATAATCAACAATAAAGCTGTAACCTGTTTTTAACTTACAGAGCACAACCATGTAGCCTAATGTACAATGTGTCTACAATTAATGACAGCTTATTAATACTGTAAGTCAACAACCCTGTTGACTCTCAAACCCGGTAAAGTTAACTAATAAACTGTAAAGTTACCTGATCAACAATAACCTGTAACCTCTTCTAGCCAACGTAATAATTAACATGATGGCAGCCAGCGGGACGTAAATAATTACATTTACGTAGGCAGGTTACAGGTAACGAGGGAGGAATAACAGCACGCTCATCAGACGCTTCCAAAAAATAACATTGTTCACGAGTCCCGCACCTCGAGTCCAAGTCGAGCCTGAAGTGACAGTGCTGAGTTTTCCCCACACAACATACTTGATGACTTTGAGATGGTGACAAGTACAAGCTACACTCATCGCTCCCATTACAGCTACACAGATTGTACACTTGCTAGTGTACATGGGAGTGAATATGCATGTAAAAACATGCAGCGTGTGTCAGGTGATCATTGACAGAGTAAAATATGCTTGTAAAGATGTATTCATTGTTGATTACTTGCATACAGAGAATATTCCTCTATTTTTTCTTACAGATATATTCACAATGTGGCTTCTGTGCGGTAAACTTTTAGTCAAGGTTGATCCTCGGGAGCGTATCAACCAGGACAAGAAATGGACTTTCAGTTCCTCAACATGTACGATATTGATGATAAGTTGTATGTCATTCTAGAAACATTTGAAATATTCCAGAGAATGAGTAATGAAATGAAGTTATTTAAT